TATGATGATAGAAGTGTTTTTCTAAAAGCTTTTTCTAAAAGCTATCCTCTAGGAATTATTTTGGGAAAGTTCTATGTCTGTGCTATACAGGCGGTGAGACCAGGTGATCACCGGGTCCCTTCTGGCTTTATAATCTCAGAACTAGGTACATCAATTCACATGCAAAATTCTTATTGCATTCAATAGGTGTCCTTGCCCTGTGGCTTGTGGTGCGGGCTGCAGCAGGGGCCATACAACCCCTCTTGCAGCTTCCTAGGGCCCCCCTCTCATGGCTCTGTGCACCTGTGTCTGTCATTGTCATCCTCTCCCCTCCCTCCGCCCCGCTCACCCAATGTGTCCTGATATTTCACTCTTGCAATCTGGTCACCCTAGTAGCGAAGGAGAGATGATGGGTAGTGGGGAGATAGGCTGTGAAGGGCACTGAAAGAGAAGAAAAGTAGGTTATGTTTGATACACAGAGGAGGGGGAGCTAGTGGACAGATGCGAAGAGAGGGGGTGATAAATTCAAAGCAACAAGCCTGCAGAATGACCTTTGCAGCAGCATGCTGACTGGATACAAGTGGGGCAACATTGCATTTGTCAAGGCTAGAGGAAAGGCTGCTGTAGTAATCACATAAGATTATGAGAACCTGGCCAAGAATTTTAGCTATGGATAGGAAAGACTGTATATTAGAGATGTTATGCAGAAAGAAATGCCTTGCAGACTGCTACGGTCAGCTGGATGGCAGCCTTTTACCCCAGAGCCAGCTGCACTTCAAGGGTGCTGTAGAAACAAAACAGTTAAAATAAACGGAAAGAGGAGGGAGAGCTTTCAGGGTACCAAGCCAGGAGGGGGGAGCTCTCTGCTTCACCAGACCAGGGCCAGGTGCAGACCTTGTGCTTTAGGACCCGAAAGGGGAGTATCTGTGGCCTGGGCTGGCACGGACCCAGCACCGCTGTCTCCCTGGCAGATTCTCAGTTTATGCAGCCAAACGCCTGTTCATGGGCCAGTGAAGCAGCAATGCTACCCCGGGCAGCTTGGCACACACGGCAGCTCCCGCCGGTCTCCTCCCAAGAAGCCAGGGTCTCCCAGGGTCAGCAGCCGGGGCCCAATGAGGGGCAGGCCCAGGCGGCGACGCCCGGGCTGGTCTCCTCCCCCAGACGGTTTGTGCAATACAAGGCGGAGCTGCTGTTTTGCAGGCAGTCGCCGGCGCCTGGAACACGGTATATTACAGCGGCCGGCTGCAACCTATAGCCTAAGCCTGCCTCGTTTCCTGTCCCGGCAGCTGCCAGCACCAGCCGCTTTCCTCGGTCCCCTACCGCCACAGCTCCCCATGGAGAAGGCTGAGGACGGGTCCCAGGGCTTCCTGCCGCCCTTCGAGCACTTCGCCACTCAGGCCATCCACGTGGGGCAGGAGCCGGAACAATGGACCTCCATGGCCGTCGTGCCCCCCATCTCTCTCTCCACCACCTTCAAGCAGCAGGCGCCCGGCCAGCACTGTGTGAGTGGGGACTCCTGCGGGGGAGGGAGTGGAAGGGGTGATGCGGAGCGAAGGGAAACGTGGGGAGTGAGCGAGAGAAAGCGCTGCGGGCAGGAAAGAGAGGAATGGAACCAGATGTCGGTTCAAAGGCTCTCTCAACCTGTCAGGAAATGAGATGGGGTAAAAGGTTTACTCCTCTATAAAGCAGAAACGTGCGTCCCTGTAGGTCCAGTCCAGCTCTGACCCTTACACAAATTATCCACATGTAAACATGCGCACATTTGTAAGGGAAACCAATTTATTTCCTGTCAATTCAGACTGGAAATAGTGGTTTATTTTTTTTAAATCCAGTTTTGGGACACAAAAAGGATGTAAAGCAGCAAACTATTTACAGCTGAAGAGTTTAAAAAAAGTCTCAACAATTTTTTTTGTTTTGCAAAATTTCAAAACAAACTTATTTTTCCTGGAGAAGGCTCTTTCAAGTATGCCAAGTTTCAGCCAAAAGCAAAAATTCTGTACCATTGCCGTAAATAATCCTCCTCTGTATCACAAAAAGGTCTGGAGTGGAAATGCACACTCATTTTTCACTCTAGAGATTCCAGTGGATACCATAGAACAGAAATCCTTTGCCACTGCACTTTAAATGTTACAACACAGCTTGGAAGTTTCATAAACCAGGTGGCAGCTGCCCAAATAGGCACCTGTCCAAAGCAGGATAGCTATCATTAAATACTCAGTGCAGAGACATATTATGCATTTAAAAATCAATATAATGCTTAATAAAGTTTTTGACTTTTTAACCATTTAATGCATGTCAATCTAGCAATGTCAGAATGATGAAAGAAGGGGCTTGGCTGCCCGAGGGAGGTAGTGCGCAGTGAGTTAGTGTGGGGTAGGTAAAAAGAACAGGAGTACTTGTGGCACCTTAGAGACTAACAAATTTATTAGAGCATAAGCTTTCTTGGGCTACAGCCCACTTCTTCGGATGCATATAGAATGGAACATATATTGAGGGTGTGTGTGTGTGTGTATATATATATATATATCACACACATACAGAGAGCATGAACAGGTGGGAGTTGTCTTACTAACTCTGAGAGGTCAATTAAGTAAGTGAAAAAAACTTTAGAAGTGATAATCAAGTTAGCCCAGTACAGCCAGTTC